AATATAGAACATATCAAAGCTCACTGAATTCAGATTCAGTACTGTGCACAATGTTGGAAATTCTTGCATTGCACATGGAAAAGTTTAACTACAGGCATTATTTTGTGTAAAGCATTACCTTTTCTTTCTCTAACTACTCAGCATCAATCTTGAATTTAAAAAGTAAAAATAAGAAAAAAATTTGCGAGTGCTTATATATGCTCATGTAAAAGTGTAATGGGTACTCCTTGTCATACCACCACTCATGATATGAAGTTATTACAGTTTTGTAGTAACTGAGAATCTAGTTCCTTATGCTTTCTGTGCCATATGCAGAAGTGCTGCAAGGTACGCTATGCGCTAAATACTTTGTCCTCAAACTGCAGCCTACTTCAGTTTGCATTTAATTTTCATGTAGTCTTCACAATGATCAGGTATGCCAGAAGGTGCTAGGCTTATTTAATGCAGAGATTTGTGCTGATTCCATCTGCTGGTAGAGTTTACCCAGAGCCCGCAACAGGAAGATTTGCTATATTCCAGTCATTTTTCCCTCTTGATTTACTTACCCTCCTCCTTCCAGCTTGTACGCATGCTGTGCATGCTTTTCAGATCAAGTAAGTGAGAGGTTGGGTGACAAATTAGACTGGAAGCATCTGTTTCTGCTTCTATGCTGGAAATGCTGAGACAAAAAATATACTGTATGTAAAGTGAGTTAGCGCATTTATCCAACTTAAGTTCTTTTGGAGATGATGCTTCACTAGATGAATTGTCCCTGAAATTGGGCTACTACTGAAAATAAATTTTGTATTTTATGGTAGAGTAGAAGAAAGTAATAACACAGATGTACCATAGAGGATATAAAGATTCCTTGAAAATACGTGACAAATCGTATTTTAGTAACTGAACATACTGAATACGGCTTTTTAACTGGGTCTGAACATTTGGGATTTTTATGTTAGCACTCTTGAAGACTGGGGCTTCTCTGAATATAGGTTTAGGAACCTATTTTAGTAAATATTGGCCCTCACAATCAAACATTCCAGTATCTGACTTTCAAGCCCCAAGGATTTTAAGGTTTATTATTTACTTATTTATTTTAGTCTTTTGAAATTATTTCCATTTTGTCTGGCATATTACAGTTTGTCAAGCTATTGATTTAGTAAGATACTGCTTTCCAAATTTATGTTTTCTTAAGTGATCTACTTAAAGAATTCTATTCCATAAAATTGTACTTAGATGTTTGCATTGGGAAATTAAAAACAGGTTGCTGTTTAGAAAATGAAAAGATGAAGAGTAATAATCTTTTTTTATGTCAGTAGTGCTGTAAGGTTTGCTTGTACAGCATAAACCTTACAACTGACACCTGCAGTTTCAGACACTTAGGAGCTCTTTCATTGTAAAATGTCCAAGTTGCATTTGGATTGGTGCGGTTCTTTTACAGTCAGAAAATCCTGACGCTTTTCAGACCAGGCATTTGAAGAAATTTTGTATGTTCATCTTTAATGAAGTTAAATGTATGCATAAAAATTTGCTGTACTGAGACCACAATGAGGTCCTGCTTCTCATGTCTTTGAGAGTAATTGCAGAGAAAGGAGATTAGTATGTATTACATCAGCTTTCCCTTGAGTAGAAAAGCAAGGGTTCACTCTGATAACTTGTATGGTATTAAGTAGATTATGCTTTGTAAGTACTAAGCTTTTATACCTAATTCTTGAAGCCACAAGTAATCTTAAAAGATGTCTAATAATAATTTGAATTGAAAATGCATTTATTGGCATACATAAATGCAAAAGGTCATGTCATGCTGATGCAGTATAACGTGTTCTCTCTTCACTTACCTGCACTGCTGCTGCAAAATGGAGAGTGCTTCTGGTCAATAAACTTACAGTATATCAAAAAACCTAAAAGCATCCTTAATTTAATAATTATTGTAGGATCATGTCTTCCTTGGTTGGCAAGAGAAATGTGTGGCATTTGGATCATGACATGATCACATCAAACATACAGGTGTGTATTGCTTGTGGATCACCTCTTTATGAATGCTGTAGCTTTTAAAAGAAACTAATCACATGTTCAGTTAAGATAAATGCTGTCATTGTTTCTTGCTAAGTGTCCCTGGAGACTGTATGCAGGAAGACTGCAACTCAAATTTCACATGGTTTTGGTTTTCTGGACTTTTTCTCTTCTGAGTAGTTGGAGACATGAGGTAGACTCAAATCCCAGTCTGTGGTATAAAGTCCTTGTGCAGACTTGAGGTTGTAGAAATTAATAATGACGTTTAGTAGTACTTTTTTTATTATTTTATTTTTACTGTGGCCCACCACCTCTGACAAAGTATTTATATTCCCTAGTACTAACATTCTTTACTTACTTGGATTATCAATCTACAAAGCTACAGCTGTTCTTACTGTGTTTTCACCAGTGCTATGATACACTGAGTAGGAAAGGGATTCAGATCTCAGTTGCACCATTATAAAATACAGTTTTACATGTGACCTGTTTCTACTGACATCGGTTGAATTTCTCTGAAGTTTCTTAGCCACAACTGAGATCAGAATTTAGTCTTCAGTCTCATTAAGTTTTTCAAAACCTTACAACATCTCTTACTTAAATACCTTTGTGTTGTAGCAATTCTTTCTGGCAAAAGCTGCAGGTAATCTCATGTTTGGATTTCAGTTATAAGTTCCTTTTTGCACAGGCCCATTGGGTTTCCGTTTGGTTTTTTGCTTTGTTTTTTAATTTTTTTCCCACAATTCTTATTTTTAGACTGAATCTGTGCTCTCAGTCACTGTCAGCTAAAAGCAAATAAAGGATTTAAGGACCTAGTGCAGGACAAAGGTGTTTTATCCAGCACTGAATAAAGCTTCCACGCTCCTGCCACTGCTCCCATTCTCCTCCATTGCGGCTTAATTTTGGAAGCCGATAAGCTTTTCACCCACCTGCTGTTTTGACTAGACAATTTGTGTGGGGTGGAACTGCTGGCATGGATAGCACAGTGTCTTGCTTGGGGTTCCACCAGGAATAAGCTAAAAGTAGTAGTGTAGAGTCCCTCGAGGACCCTGAAGTAAGGGGCAGCCTCAGGTCATGCCCATGTAGTTCCAACTGGGTAAGGCTTTTCACAAAATACTGTACTTTGTAGGGGGATATCTTGGCAGTAGCTGCTTTTTGCTTTTTATATCATAGCTTAGCATTTGTCATGCCTAAGGAGTGAAAGCAATGGGAGCAACTTCCTCCTTCCTGATGGAATTCAAATCTGTCTCCACCTCACCAAAACATCTCCTAACTACCCAAGAACTCTTCCAGCTCTAGACACCCCTTTTTAGTTTGAAACTCTTCAGTTCGCAAAAACAAGAAAGCAAGTCAGTAAGTTGATACAGTCTTGTGGTTAAAGCACTGGATCAGGTCAGAAGTTTGAGACATGATTGTTATTACCAGAACTCAAGATTTGTTGATTGATAGCTTGGTGTAATGTGTGGAGTTATACTGGAAGACTTCCCCTTCTAGATGAATAGGCTAACCAAAAAGCTATTTTATAAAGGTAGAGTATCACTGCTATTTCCTTATTTAAAAAAAAAAAAAAAAAAAAAGTAATTTTTCTGTAGGCATCATTTTCTGTAATTAAAGTCTCATAGATGAGATGCTGCATTTATCAGAAAATTTAAATTACAGTAGTTTCTTCCCTGTACCAGGCCTATGATATGTACAGCCCTATTATATTACTTCTGCAGAGCTGATCTGATCAGTGAAAAAAAAGGTTGCCACGTATCCAGCATCCCAAAAGTCCCACAATTTGTGTAATTAGGTCTTCTGATGAATTTGTGGTGCTCGGTTTGTAGCTGGTTGGAAGTCTCATATATCCTGAATTTGGGAAAATGAGGTTAGACATATGGTAACCTTAACGTTTTGGATTGCGTTATGAGGTATGTATTTGTCCTTGCTTCACAAGGCACAGGCACTTGCTGCACTTGTGAATATCAGGAGCATACATGTTTGTCAGATATTGTGTGATCGAGTCTGCATATTCTAAACAAAATCACCTTACTCTCCGAGTTTGGCCAGAAAAGGAAAGGAATATATTTAATTTGCGTTAAGTGGGGTTTTTTCTACTGTGAAGCGTTTTTTTGGTAAACACTTTATTGTAACTGTGAAAGGGTTATAGGAATATTATGATGTTTGTGGTTTGGTTGTTTCACATTTCCTTGGAAGAAAATAAATTTTGTATACAAATTTTGGTATAAAGAAGTTGCATCCAAAGCTGTCATAAAAACAGGGATCCTGGGTATAAATGCCTACATCAACTTTCTACCCTGATACCTGACCATGAGAATACCAGTAGTGTTGTCAAACATGTGCGGCTTGTGTACCAGAGGGTGTCTTGTATCTACTTGACAGATGGTGGAAGAATAATGTGAAAAACTAAAACCCTTTAAAACTGAAATTGTTTACAAGAAAAGTACTCTGTTTTAGAAGGATAACTTCAATAAGTGAAATTTTTGTAGCAGTTCAAAGTTATTGACGTGCTATATTGTCAACAAGAGTTGTAGATTGACTTTAAAGTTTGTCAGTGTCATTTCTCTCCTACTGTGATAGGTACATGGAGACATTTCTGCCTGAGCACCTGTATATTATGAAGTAAAATTTTAGTTCCAAATTTGTTGGTCAACCTTTGAATTGGTATTTCTGTAAAGGGATACCAAAATGAATACATTTTCCAATTATTACCTTATCGGTATATATTTAATACTAATATTAATCTTACAAAGAGGGGTTAGAAACAAAATTTCTTCACTGAATACGTTAGAAAAATAGTAACATAGAAGATAGCAACAGCATATTTTAGCGTATCTCAGCCTGCTATATCTTATTTTCAGTGGGATTGATGCTACATTAAAGTTCTACATAAATTTTAATTAAGTCTGCTCGGTTGTCTGATTTGCCTAAAAGTTGTGTTCATTTGCTTTTTCATGAAAAACAGAGGAAAAAAAAATCACTACATGAACAAATTGTCCTTTTGTTTGAAGGTTCAAGCTCAAGTGCGACATGCAAAACTCAACTTTGACAAACTGAAAACTGATGTCTGTCAAAAAGTGGATCTCTTGGGAGCGAGCAGATGCAACCTCCTTTCTCATGTGTTAACAACATATCAGGTATCCAAAGAAAATGTTGACCTCCAAAAGAAAGATTTACTGTTAATGTATGTTTTTTAAGAGGTTACCATGGCAATATTCAACTGTAAGAATATGTAACTACTATTGGAGGGGAGATGTGAGATTTGGACTGAAAGCAGACTGGTGTTAAAGCTAGCATTGCATTGAAATTTTATCCTACCTTACAGATAACCCTTCTTCATTTTTGGGAAAAAACTTCACACACAATGGCAGCCATCCATGAAAGTTTCAAAGGTTACCAGCCATATGAATTCACTATGTTAAAGGTAAGGAATAGTGAGATATATTTGTTTGCCCAATGAGAACAAGAGATCATACAAGGATGTATATTTGTCCGTATATTTTCTGACAATGTTATCCCTGTCCTGTCTTTTCATTTAAACATGGGGTTTCTGTTTAATGCGCTTCTGGCTAGTAGGATCAAAAACTGCATGTAAAGTGCAGTGACTAAGGACCATTTTGAAGGAAGACATTATTCAGGGCTGCACTTAAGTATGTGTTTAATTGCTAACTGGGATTTTGTTTGTTTATTCCAAAAGAATCATACAGTCCAGCAGAATTAGGGAATTATGTTACTCTCCAAAATCCTGCAAGTGAATTAATGCTATTTTGCTTTTGCATCTGTTCTTAAAAACTCACACTCTTTAAGAACACCTTGCTGGACTAAATATGGATGAGTAAAGGCTTTCCACACCTGTACTGAGACTTCTTAACCCTTAACTGCTCTAGGAAATAGTTTTGCTTGACTAGTGGTATTTGCTGTTTCTTTGTAATCTTTAAGTATGAATTAGATGCAATATCTGACTGTGGTCTGAGTTCAGTTTCACCAGGTATCTAAAAATCATCACTTAGCACTGTGTATTTTCCTGGTTATGCCTGCCTCTGCATAGTTGCTTCGCCCCTTGCAGTTTGAGGTTCAGTAGAGGAATGGGAAAACAGTGGAAAAAAAAATTACCATCTTTCCAATTATCCCATATTTTGTGCAACATAATAACTATGTGATTGGCTGATCCTATTTGCATGGGAGAAAAATAACATTTGTCTGAAGGAGGTCTGAGGGAAGGATTAGCACTGGAAGGAAAGTGAGGAATGAATGGCTTGCAGCAAAACCACTGCTTGCTTGGAGAGACAACCCAGTTTGAAAACAATTACAAGTCATAGCCTCAATCCATGAAATGCTTGTACATATGACACGTAGAAGTGGAAGATGAGCTATATATATATATATATGCTATATAGCCTGTGGCTACCCCAGAGCTCCTGGAAAAGAAGCACCAGAAGGTATATGGTTTAATTCACCCCAGACTGCCAAACTTGTTTGTACATGACTATGCTATATTTAAAGTTGTTTTCTAGAATGTGGGTTGTGAGGGAGCAGTTTCTGAACTTTGAAGTGCATAAAGAGCTTTTGGAGACTATTACTCCTGCAGCATGAAACATCACAATAGACCAAACAAACAAATGTCAAGCTCAATCTCTCCTGACCAAGGATAAAAATGAAGAGGCTTATAAATTGTTTCATCTTGCCCAGCCTCTTAAGAATCCTGTCTTGCAGGAGAAGTCCTCATTTGCTGTGAAGTTAATATAACTGTAAGCTGCTTTCTTGTGTAGCATGTAATGGAAGATGGGTTTCAGCTAGAGCTTATGTCCAGATTTCAGGAGGAGACATTAGGGCATAGTTATCTTGACATTGCCTGTAATTACCTACAGACTTACCAATTAAATTCCAAACCAGAAAAGAAAATCCCCTTTATTTCCACTATTGCTTCCGATGTCTAGTTCACAGCCTGGGTTTTGCATGGCCAGTCCTGCTCAGGAGCCTGGGTATTATGCTGCTGGGCCATTCTCATAACTTCCCAGTGTTAGAAGTTTCCTGAGGAATTTTTTCTCTTTGCTTTGATACAAACCAATTTCAGTCTGATTTGTGTAGGTAGCATATATTGTTGCTGAGTATTCTCTTTTATATATAAAAATGTGATTATTTGAACAGATGTATGATGTTTCAAAAAGCATAGTAAAATTTGGACATTGGAGAGAAACTTGTACAGAAAATTCACCTGTCCTGGGGAGTGAAATACCCTTGTGATAGGGGATGAGAGAGATTTGGGGGTATTTGTTATCTTTTGAGCTTCCTTCTGTGAAAGATTTCAGTATGATCTGAATTTGAAATTAGATTGGGAATCTATGATGAAGAAATACAATCTGTATTGAGTGGACACATGTGTAACAAACACACCCTTGAAGCAAAAGGTAACCGTAATAATGGTTGTGAATCTAGTGTGTTTAGGATGCAGCCTAACTTTGTTATGAAAATCTTAACCATCTTTATTGCTGGCTTCCTGCACTGAAAAGATATGACTTCCTGGTTTTGCAGTGAAATGTATGTTGAGAAATGATGCTAATCACAGGTAGTTTCATTCTGCAGAATTTCATGGAAGTCTTTGCTTTCACAAAACAGCTGCTTGGGAATAAGACTATGTTACTGCCTTTTAGTTCTTTATTTCTTTTGGTATCTAGAGCATGGGATTATTTTCTATACCAAGGCGCCTCCATGATCTCTTTTCCCCCAATTAGTAGTTTCTGTTTGTTTATATTAAATGATTGCTGAGAAGATTAAATCAAAATATGGTGGTTGCATCAGGTGATATTCTGTTGCCTAAGAAAATACATCTGCTGCTATTTCAGGTGCCTCACTAGGGTAAGTCACCTCACCTCCACTTGTCATTTCTGAAGGGTGTGGGACTCCCATGAATCCCATGTTTCCTCTGCTAGACCTGGGTGTGGAATGACAATAGATGTTTGTGGTTAGGGAACTGATCCCTCACAGTCATATCGTATGTTCATGCCAGAGTAACTATATATTAAGAAGGAGCTGCAAGATAATTCTACATTGAGATTACGTGGTATTATTTTTTTACGAAGTTTAATAAATGTCTATAGGAGATCTAGGGCAACTGTAGTTTCTGATGGATAGACTTTTGGTCTAAAAATACACCAAATGAAGATGCCTTACACATTTAAAAATATACAATCAGAATATATAATAGCTTAAAACACACATATAGTATTTCAGTGTGCCCATTTCTACATTAAATTGGGAGTTACCCCTCTTAGAATATTTTCTGTGTTATATCTTTAAAAGGGATCTTTCCTAAAAGAAATTTTTTAGTTTGATACTTGCAAATAATTTTTGTCTTTTATGATTCCAGTATCAATCTAGCAGCTTAATTCACCTTTTGATACAAGTGATCCTTTTGAATTGAACTAAGCATATGTGTATGTAGGATTAGCATTTTACTTTAAAACAAGAATTTAAAGAAACTGTTAATACTTGATTTAGATGTAGATTGTCTTCCTGAAAAGTTAGAAGGTGCTATGTACTGGGAAATTACTATCTGTATTTAGTAGTATGAATATATTCATGTACCAGGTTTACCTCAGGAAAGAGACTCTTAATAGCCTCTCGGGATTGTTTCTGGAAAGAAAACATTGTCTTTAGAGATGTTTGCCAAAACTCCCTTAATGAAAAACAGCCCATTTGTTTTCTTTGCTTCAGGGTATATGCTAAGAGTAGTGTAATTGTGCTATTGCAGCTGTATTTCCTAACTGTGAGTTTCATGGTTGATGAAAGATGATTATTAATGTGCTAACAACTCTATGTATCATGATGTAAAAGTATCTGAAGTATCTGTTACTGTATCCATTGCTTTATTATTAAAGATAATGGGCTGCTGGTTTGGTAAAGCCTTTAAAGTTTCATTGTCTTGAAATTACTGTATGTCACATGAAGTCAAATTTATTTCGCAGGCTATTTTTCAGGAATAATACCTCTTTTTAAATTTCTGTCTCCATTTATTTACCTTAGTTACTTAATGAATAGTTAGTTACTTTTTTTACATTTTAATGTATAATACCAAACTTCCTGAAGAGTTCATATGAGCATAGAAATAATAATAGTTCTGGTAAAGGAGCCAAAAGGCATATTTCTCAGTGCATCCATTTATTTCTATGCAAAGTGGAATGCTGTGCTCCTTACATGATTTGGAGAACCCTGTCCAAGCAGGTACTACAATGCTGTTGTCTCATGCTGATTGCTGCTGCAGTCTGGTATCCTTTCTTTTTTTTAATCCTATCCTTTGTTGCATGTTGATTTTACTCACAGCAACATTGCATATCATTTTCTATCTCTAGGGTTTTGGGGGCAGGGGTTAGCTGTTTATTGGGGTTTTCCTGATGAATCTTCGTGAGGAAATTCTGAGACAACCTGCTTTTCCCTCTTCCCTTTCAGCTCTCCCCCAAATGAAACCTGTCTAAGCCTTTGTCTCCTCAGTGGTATTGCATTTCTCCACATGTGTCATGATGTCCTGGGATGTATCCCTGGCTCCTGGATCTGCCTTTACTGTGTTGCTTTGATTCTTTCTCAGTCAAAAGGAAGCACATTAGTTGTCCCGAGGCACTTGGGGGAAACTGTGGGCAAGCTAAGTGCTTTGTCAACACTCTGGTGATTTAACTGCAGAGGACAGGTTTTGTGTGCAGTCCAGATGATCTTGGCTTGACTTGAAAGTAGCCCAGATGCACGTGAAGGAATTTTGTGAGTGAGTAGCAGTGAGCCACAGAATAGTGCCTGAGCTGGAACCAGAGTTAACTCTGCAGCAGAGGAAGCCCTTGATGGCTTGCATATTTTGTCTGAGTACTAGGAGCAAGCAAAATGTCACTGGTGACTTGGTTCTAGACCTCCCGTATGAAGACAGGCTGAGAAAGTTGGGGCTGTTCAGCCTGGAAAAGAGAAGGCTGCGTGGAGACCTTATAGCAGCCTTCCAATATCTGAAGGGGGCCTACAAGGATGCTGGGGAGGGACTCTTCATTAGGAACTCTAGTGGTAGGACAAGGGGTAATGGCTTTAAACTTAAACAGGGGAAGTTTAGGTTAGATATAAGGAAGAAGTTCTTCACAGTGAGGGTGGTGAGGCACTGGAATAGGTTGCCCAAGGAAGTTGTGAATGCTCCAACCCTGGAGGTGTTCAAGGCCAGGTTGGACAGAGCCTTGAGCAACATAGTTTAGTGTGTGGTGTCCCTGCTCATGGCAGGGGGGGTGGATGGCAGGGGGGTTGGAACTAGATGATCTTAAGGTCCTTTCCAACCCTAACTATTCTATGATTCTATGGACAAGATAAACAGAAGGAATGACTGTGAACTCTGCTAGTGTGTATGGTCTTTCCCTGATTTTTATAGTAAAAGAGAAACAACAACTCTAGGAAGATAGCCTTCTGAATATGCAAGGATCCTACCTTAAGCCACATACTGGTGTAGCTCACAACAAAGTCTGCGTGAGTCTATGTGAGCACTCAGGGGTGCTTCATACACCCAACTGAAGTGTGCTTCCTTTTGTGTGAACTCAGTCTGTGTCTTTACAGCCTTGTGTAATCACTATGCTTTCTAGGTTATAAGACTTCTGATCGAACCTGAAACAAGTAAGAGACTATCAGTTTGATTTCTGTGTACACTGTATGCAGTGATCACATTACCATGGGTTCATGTTTAGAAAACATTTGACAGTGGCTTTTTAACACTTGGTTTTATTTCATACCGATTCTCTAGCCCTTTTAAATCTTTTAAACAAGATACATCAGTTTGTAGTACACATCAAGATGTGGAGAGAAGAAAATAATTTCATTATTGAAAATATGAGGAATATTGTCTGAATTAAATTATGTTGAATTATTGCATTAAAATACAGCTGCTGATTTTTAACAATTTTAATCATAAACTCCATTGAAACTGAAGCTATATTTCAGCACTATGTTTATTTTTCTAATACAGGAAATAATAATTGCCATTATTATCATGCTGTTTCTTTCCCAAGGTACTTGTGAACTCCATTTCTATATGCTGTTATATCACAGCTTGATCACAGTCCTTTAAATATGTATTTCCTGAAATACTCATGAAGGAAGCATATAAAATATAGTTCCTTAAAGAAGAACCCTGGTTTCTCTGTATTTTTCTTGGTGAAGATGCAGAAGATTTTAATTCTGATAATTTTATTTAACTTGAATAACTAGGCAGTGGTTAAAGTAGTTCTGTTTGTTATTCAAAACCATTATACCCTTCTTGGGGCAGGCCCTGTGCTGCTATACTTAGGGGCAGGCAGAGCACCACAACTGTTGCACCATCTCCTCCTGATTACAGTGGGCTGTGTGTCCTACTATGAAGGTGTCCAAGATGGTTCAGGTGCCTGTAATGCATGGTTACAGTCCCTGTAATGCAAACCTCTGCTGTCTTTCTCTGCGTTGCACTTCTGTACAGGTATAGTGCATATTCTTATGTTTTTGAACTCTAATCCAGGTCCTCATGGAGTCAATGGAATAATTCCCATCCATTTTAATGGTACAAGAAGTGGAGTCTAATCAATAGCCAGTACAAATTCAGTTAAAGAGTAACATACTTGTTTATAGGTGATCTAGCCTGAGGTGACTAGTGTTCATTATTCAGAATCCAAGAAGTACACTTACATGTGATTCTGGGTAGCACTGTTAGTGTCAAAAAAAAGTGGCAATCACAGAATAAGGTAAATTTCTTTAATGCCTCTGTTTACTATTGCTGCTTTTGTGATACCTTGTCTTTTGACACATGATATCTGCAGTGCTGAAGTAGCTTATGACAAATTAATCTTTAGTTCTAGATAGGAAAAATAACATACTGAGAGGAAAAAAATGCAACTGTAGTATACAACAGGTCCATTACTTTGGTTTCTAAAACACTGAAGTATATATTTCCTCATACAGCCTCATACAGCCAAGTACTGAGCTAAGCAGAAACTGGAATGCCCCTACTGGGGATTCATCTATCCTGGTTGACAGGGCAGTGCAAACAAGACCTGTGACATGCCTGGGCATGCTTTTATTGTAACAGATGGGCTGGGGACTCTATCTTTTATTTAATAGATGAGATGGATTTATCAGCCACAGTTTTTCCTTTGTTTTACTATTCCGATGAAACATACTACCATTTTGTTAAACCTCCTACATTTTTGTGTTCATTAAGTTCTGCACAAAAGGTGGCTTCTTTGTTTTAGCCTCAGCTTTTTGGGGAGAGGGGGGAGAAGGTCGGTGAGATGCACTACTGTGAATATCAGTGAGATAAACTCAATTACAAGTAGTCAGGACTATGCACATGAAACGTGGTTTTATTTTTCAGAAACTGAGTTAGACATTGGAAATAGGAACATGTTTTTACCTTCACAGCAAAACCATTTGATAAAGCCAAATATTCACATTGCTAACATCTGTGATTATTTAATTACTATCTTCAGTTATTTATTTTTTCATACAGCAGTACTAATTAACGTATAACAGGGACAACCAGTAGTGTATGTATCACTCCTGTAATCTCAGAGAGATGGTCTATAATGCTGTATGTGTCTGCTTGTTCACATGTCCAAATTCTGGTTATAAAAATGCTAACCAGGAAACTGCATATTGTGTAGCATGGTCTTTCAGATTGCAAAGGGACAGTAGGGTTTCCTAATACCACACCTGGCCTCTAAGTAATCATCCAAGATTTTAACCCTTGTTTTCAGATTCAGGATACAAATAGTACCTTCCCATTACACTGCTGTTGCCAAGGTTTTGTCTATAGTTGTGTCAGGAAAAAAGAGACTGAAGAAGTAAAGAAGCAGTATATGAGGAATAATTATATAAAGAATGCATTTTTCTTATCTTGGGAAAAAAAGGGGACAGAGGGGCAAAAAAGGAGGAAAAAAGAAATAGAGGCAACCCCCCATAATGGCAGAAACATGCTGTCTGTGCCTGCTTTGCACATGGTATAGATGGTTTTGCATAGAAATACTGGAAACAGAACATGAATTTAGAAGTATTCAAGCCTTACCTATTTATATAAAGGTGTTCATGTAACTCAATTTGAGTATCTTTTAACATCTTTTTATGTTGCTTGTTTGAGTCAGATACAGTTTTGATACAGCTCAAAACCATTATTACTAATGTGGGTTCTGTAGTTTGGTTTGGCTTTAAATGACACACATTCTATTTTGTTTTCTTCTCTTCATTTATATTATGGTTATGATCTAGAGTTTACAAGATCCTGTGAATAAACTAACAGAAAAAGCAGAAAAGGAGGACCTGCAGATTGAGAGCACTAAATCAGTACAAGATCAGCAGAGTCAGTAAGTTGCATGGCCTATAGATGAATAAGTATTTTTGTCTATAATCTGCTTTCTGGTTGCTAAGATCACCAAACAGTTATAAATGGAAATACAAACACAGCTAGTCTGATCACATTAGCTAATAGGAAGCTTAATACAAGAATTCCTGAAATGTTGTAATGTGTACATGAAAACTAATAAATTTTATGGTGAAATTAAGAGCTTTAAAAAGACCCATTAAACCTTTATATGTTTTTTCTTTCCTAGCCTTCTCTTTATTTTTCAGCTTTTGCTTCATTTTTTCTATAGTAAAAGAAATGATAAACAATTACACATGGGAGAAGAGATATGAGCATTGTATTTCTCCCTTCAGCAGCATCTCCTTTCACCTGGGAATAGGATATGGATTCCTGATTGCTTTGGGCAGCGATTAGTTTTTGTAATGTATACAGCATCAGTTAGTAATCCAATGAAGCAGTAGGTACTTAGGGTAAAGTACATCTAAGTGAGCTGATGCTATCGAGGTTTGAGTTACCTGTAGCTCTGAGGTGAGAGAGACTTAAGAATGGACTGCTACGGGGAGAGGAGAACAGGAGAATGAGATGTGATCCCTCCCCTATGGGACCATCAGGATTCAGTTGCGAGGAGATGCAACATTGATATAATCCTGCTGCCACCTGTTGTTTTGACTATCCTTGGTTAAATGAAGTACCCAGCAAAGGATCAGTTGTCAAAAAGCAGAGAACAGCTTGACTGATTAGTGGATTTTGCTCAGCTATTTATAATTGATTTTTAAAGAGTTCAGTTTTCCAGTCCTATTTGCTAGTTTAGATTCAAAATCACTGAGAAAACCAGTCTATAAATTGGTCAGATTTGGTGCTATTAAGATTAAAAAGGACTCGGCCAAGTAGTGTTTGGCAGGTGGTTGCCTCCACAGCACTTCCTTGAATCTGCTGCATCTCAAATGACAATAGTAAGTAAATTCATAAACTGTTTTCCTCAGTGTTGAATATAAAGGTCTAGAGTGAATTCATGATTTATGCAAGATGAGTGCATTGGCACCTACTAGCAAATGCATCAGATGACATGTCATGGTTGTAATTGTATTTACAGATTATCTTTTTCCTTGTCTGTCATAAAACTGAGGGGAAAAAAATAGGTCACCATTTTGCTGTCTAAAATAAACCATAAATAAACATCTAAGATTCTAGAAGAATTACATGAAACAAAGCTTTTAAAATCTGCAAACTTTCCATTGACAGTAAACATTCCATATACTCAAATTTGGCCTGACTCTAATTTTCCTCTGCTTTGCCACAAGTCTATCCTCAGGACCAGGGGAGGTGACTCCTCCTGCCCTGTTGTTAGAGGGTAGGAGGAATGTGCCTGCACAGGCCTCCTCACCACATCAGCCTTGTGTCTGCTTCCTTCCCTACTGGTTGAATAGCTTTACACAAAGTAACAGCAGTTAGAAAGCACATATTCTTTACTGAAGTACTTACCTGTGTATAAGAATTGCATGTAAACCACAGCTTTTTTTTCCTGTCAGGAGCTTTTTCATCAACACTGCTGTTCCATTTATTTAGAAATCGCTGCCATGGGACAAAACTCCCCTGAACGTTGACTTTTAATTAGGGATTTTTTTTTTGTTTGTTTAAACAGTTATATCACCTCCATGATAGTTACGAAAGACCAAATCTGGAAAAGGAGACTACACTGTACTTTCCATTACAGAGATTTAGTTAGATTAAAAATGAAAGGGTGGTAGGTTTTGATTGTTAGTCTTCAATCTAATTTTGGTTTTCAGCAGACTTCTGCCAACAAAACATTAAAAGTTAACAAGACCAGCATATATAGCAAATGCAAGAGTCCATCTGAATTACTGTTGGTTTGTTACTGGTATGATTCTTTAAGGATATGACCAAAAAGAGAAAAAAATATTATTATTCTATAGCCTTAGAATTATTTTCCCAATTTTTTCTTATTTTTTTCAAATCAAGGTTGATTTCATTAGATGACGAGAGCCATACCAAGGAATCAAACTATTCAGGTATTTTGTTTCTTTTTATCGTAACTTCATAAGTGCTGTAATACATGTTTTTTTCATTTTTGTTTTTTTCCTATATATTCAGCTTCACCCAGCAAATCCCTACAAATGCATGAAACTTAAGGCCAGGAAGATCCATTTAAACTAATTGCTTAAGTGTTTATATCGCGCTGCATTTCGTTCAGTTATTGTCAGATAGGTCAAATAGCTTGTCTTCCAAAGCATAATTCTGACATTGGGTATGTCTTCAAGGAAAGAACCTGCAGGTTAATCCCTGGCAGTGTTCAAGGTGAGGCTAGACAGGGCTTTGAGCAACCTGGTCTAGGGGGAAGTGTCCTTGCCCATGGCCGTGGGTTGGAACTAGATGGTCTTTTAAGGTCCCTTCCAAACCAAACCATTCTGTGATTATTAAGTGTCGAGATAATGAAAGTATGCCACACCTGACATCATAGATGACTCTGCTTTGACAAGGGACTTGGACAAGATGACCCTCAGAGATTCTTCCAGCCTAAATAATGCCATGGCTTCAATATATCTTTTTGTACTAAATTAAGGAGAATGAAGGACAATCATTTTAACATGTGGTATTTTATCCTCCATGAAGATAATTATAAAAGGTACTACATTAAAATCAAGACTCCTCTCAAATCTTCATTTTGATAGGCTAACTATATTGATACCTTGAAGACATCTTAACTACTCCTTTATTTATGAAGTTTATTTCTATTCCACTGTACAACATCCCTTTTAAAATCTGAAATACATAACTGGACATTTCTGATGTCGTGTTTCTAGAAGGTAAAATCACCTTCCCATTTCTAAATCCAAGAAGGTTATCTCATTTTTCTGCAACATCGAATTAGAAGCTCATATTTAAATTTGTTGTTTATCAAGACTCAGTTTCTTTTCATCACAGTTTTCGAAGACTCATTCTTCCTTTCTGCAGCATGGCTTATATTCCATATTCCTAGAGATATAGCTTATGACTTATCAGTGTTAAATTCTCCCAGCTTTGGCTACAGCAACTGCATGACTGGCCTGAGTGACCACCTCTAATAGTCTGTTAGTTGTTTGCACATTTTTTTTCAAGAGTGATTTTGTGTTTACTTCCAGATGGACTGCTAAAGCCATTGAATAGCAATGGATATAACATTAAACCTTGCAGATCTAAACTAGAAACACTTCTGCTTTGCAGTTCTTTCTCCTCATAACTGTTTTTTGACATCTGTTAGTTTTCATGTTCCTAATCCATTCAATATGTTCATTTTAGATATTATGCATTGCTAACCTTTTAGCTGGAAAGCTATTCAGTACAAAGACAAGTTGTTTCTAAACAAATATCTTTACCAAAGAAAGCTCATAGTTTTATCAAAGAATGAAATTAGTTGAGTTTTTTTTTTAACTTCCTCTGCTTTCCATAAAACCACCTTTTATTACAGGAGCATTTGTTATGCTTATATTCTTTTGCTGAATCCCATACTTGAATGGGATTCGGCTAATGTTTTGTCTAGGAGTAGTGGTGAACTACCAGCCCATAGTTACCTACAATTAATGAGTCATCCTGTTAATGACTGTTGTTGTTTGGGTGTTTTTGTAACAATGACAGAATATTAGGACTTTTCTAGAGTTTTGAAGTTTCACCCATTTTGCAGTTAATTAGATCAGTCAGCACAACCCCAGGCACAGCTACAGGCTGGGCGGAGAAGAGATTCAAAGCAGCCCTGTGGAGAAGGACTTGTGGGTGGTGGTTGATGAGAAGCTTGACATGAGCAGGCAGTGTGCACTTGCAGCTCAGAAAGCCAACCGTATCCTCGGCTGTATCAAAAGAAGCGTGACCAGCAGGTCAAAGGAGGTGATCCTGACCCTCTGCTCTCGTGAGACCTCACTTGGAGTATTGTGTCCAGTTCTGGTGTCCTCAACATAAAAAGGACATGGAGCTGCTGGAGCAAGTCCAGAGGAGGGCCACGAGGATGATAAGAGGACCGGAGCACCTCCCTTATGGAGAGAGGCTGAGAAAGTTGGGGCTGTTCAGCCTGGAGAAGAGAAGGCTGCGTGGAGACCTCATAGCAGCCTTCCAACATCTGAAGGGGGCCTACAAGGATGTTGGGAGGGACTCTTCATTAGGAACTGTAGTTGGTAGGACAAGGGGTAATGGCTTTAGACTTAAACAGGGGAAGTTTAGGTTAGATATCAGGAAGAAATTCTTCACAGTGAGGGTGGTGAGGCACTGGAATAGGTTGCCCAAGGAAGTTGTGAATGCTCCAGCCCTGGAGGTGTTCAAGGCCAGGTTGGACAGAGCCTTGGGCGACATAGTTTAGTGTGTGGTGTCCCTGCTCATGGCAGAGAGGTTGGAACTAGATGATCTTAAGGTCCTTTCCAACCCTAACTATTCTATGATTCTATGAAACATTTTAATGTTCTTAGATACAAAATCTGACATACATTTTCTTAGCAGATAATTTCTAGAATCTCAGTTACTTATGGGCTGTAAAATACTTCACAATCGTCCATAATATAAATACCTTGTTCTGTCTCTTTCTCCATCATCTCTAAAGGAGCTGAAGTATTTTGGAATACTTCTGCCTGCTCTGCTAAGTTTTTCCATCTCCCTTTACTAGTGGGTCTGTGCCATTTCTAAGATTTTTTTTTTCCCCCTTGAAGTACTCTGTATGTACTAAAGTACTACAGATGTAGTGCTTCTCACAGCGGAGCTGTGTTTCATCTTAGTTTTCCTCATCAACTACTTCTACTTTCAAGTGTTTATCATTTGCTCTGCATTTTCTCTTAATATACTATGGATGTTTTTAAGGTTAGCTCCACCATGTTTACCACTGAACTAAGGCAGGCTTTTAGTAACAGTTTTACTTCCTTCATTATGGAATTGTGGCTATTCATATCCCACATTTCGTGAACTTCTCTTTGATTTCCAACACACACACACACACACACACCTTGTCAGTGCAGGGTTGGGTTTTTCCTCTTTAGCTTTGTGCATTGTCCTTCTATGGAAACGTCATGTATTTTTGTCCATATGCCTCTCCTATTTATGTAAAGTGAAATCAAATGTAATCAGTCCTTAAATGACCATCTGATTCATTTCTGTCATTGTCCTAGCAAAGCCTTGTTAAAATAATATGCAACAGCAAGCTGTTCTGTTTCATTTAGTTCTGAACACACCTTGAAGTTTCTCTTGAAAGAGTTTGGCATTCAATTTTTATTACCCTATAGAGAATTTTATTTCTCCTTTCCAGCCTCAAGTTTGAGGCTTCCAGCAGATCTGCCATCCAGTTCTGGCAATACTGTAACCAACTCCTTCATTTGCCTTCAGAGCTACAGATTTAGCTGTCTAGAAGTTAGATTTCCTCAACAGTTAATGGGGAGAGAAAGACATGTTCAGCAGATAACTCATCCCTGCTGTTTTGCTACATATCTTAAATGGGATTACTCACCTGGGGGAGATGTGTTTCTCTTCACTGATAGATGGAATCTAGATGATTGTTTTGACTCCACGTCTAATTTAAGAGACTTGCTCAAAACTAAAGGTAGTTACAGTTGAGGCACGGTGGTATTTTTCACCTCTGATAGCCTATAACCCTTAGCTATACATTTTCTCTCCTCTTGGGAGGGAAATTAGCCCATTTATTTTCCTCCAGGAGAAAAGGTGCTGTTACTTATATACTGACCTGGGGCTTTGGGGAAAGATTCCTTTTCTCCATTCTCAGACTTGGCTTCAAGAGGAAGAACATAATTGCCAAGGAAGGCGATTTAGGGACTGATATGGTCTTGTCACTTTTGTGCTCTCTCCTGGCCTTTGTAAGTACAGGCTTCTAAAAGAAGAGTCTCTGCTTCCAGAGGACCTCAGAGACCTGTGTGATTCTTTTAGTCACCTCAGCTGGGTGCACTCAGCCTGGAGGTGGACTAGTGTGGCAGGTGGTGATTCAAAGGCAGTTCCCCCCAGGGTTATTATTCAGAAGTTTGCCTCACTTCTTAGAGATGCTTACATCTTGGGCCTTTCATCCATTGTTACCAGGTTCATTTTAAACATGAATTCCATTAGCCGTTCCATCTTGATCTTATAGTGACGTTGTTTATATGCATGGTATTGTGCCAAGTGCAATTTGACATGTTTATGGGTCTTGATTACAGCTGACGATGGCAAGGATGTCACATCTACGTTACAAGGAAATTGTAACCACAAGCAGAACTCAGGTGAAGAGCCTTAAGAAAACTACCTTTAGATGTATAAATACTGATTGTTGGTGTACTGCAGATCTTCCTTTATTGCTTTTCTTCTTTTTTTTTTCTTCTTTTTTTTTTCTTTTTTGATTTAGGTGCCATAGATGACTTACTAGACCTGCAACCTGAAGAAAATGGTATGAAACATTTGTGCATGTCTGTTTCATCTGCTTTCCCATTACAGACACCAAGTATAATTTTAATCTTAGGTCTTAATTGTTTTCATAATCCGAAAGGTCGAATGAAATTATTCAGCTGCAGTATTTAAACAGTTTTAAAGGAAACCCCATATACATGCAGAGGCACTATTCCTGATGTTATAATGTGAAGTAAACCTTACTGGGGATAAAATGCATTGTAATAGGTCATTAAAGGTTAGGTATATCAAAGCTAGAGTATATCAAATTTGCCCCACTTAAGTAGGTTCCACTGTAAACGTTACCCCTCCTATAGCATTTCACAAACTTTTCTTTTTGGTTCTTTAGTTGTTGTACCACAACCCTTGGCAATACACTAGTAACGACAAGATTTTATATCAGAAATGTACAAACTATTTTGGCCTCTTAGAACAATTTAAGAACTGGTAACTTCTTTCAGCCAGATAGTCAATTAAATCAGTCATGCTGTTCTCATACACAGATGAGGAAGCAGTTTTTCATTCCAGGCTCTACTGCTACCTTTACACTTTTGTTAGATCTGTGGCAGCTCAAGGGGATGTGCTGTTTGGTTGGGTGGGTTTTTTAAACAAAGGTTGCTGTTTTACCATATGTAACATATAAAGATCTGTCTAAAAGTTTTATATTAAGTTTTTGTATGCACTAGGAGTACTACCTATAATTTCTCTATTGCTTTTCACTCATATATCTCAAAAGAATGAATAAAAAACCTTCAACAACAATAAAAAAACCTGTGGCAACTAGAAGAGCAAGTAAAGAAGCAAAGAAAAAAATCCCTAAGTGCAGTTCAGTCAGTCAGACTGAGAGAGTAATTTGGGGTATTTAAAGCACTGCCTTCATGGTAGGTAAGGAAGAGAGCATTTGCAAACACCTCGAGTTTGAATTTGCCATGGACAGTCTCTTGCACTGTGGGGATGGGAAAATTACACATGTGGGGAATCACCCATGAAGGCAGAAAGAAGGAAAGTTCCTCAGCTGTCTGTTCAGAAGGAGCCCTAATCTGTGGATAGATAAGGTAGTGATGAATTCTTTTCTGTGGTTAATAAAAAAAGGTGAGTGCATGTCTGATAAAGGCCTTTTTCTTCTGGTTTTCCCCTTAGTCAGTTCCATTCCTTGTTGGACCTTCGTAATGGAGATACAGATAATGCATACAATCGTTGGTCATACAGGTTTAGCTTATGTCAGTAGGAAGGCTTTTTTTCTTTTTTTTTTTTTTTTTTTTTTTGGAGGCTTTTTTTTTTTTTTTTTTTTTTTTTTTTTTGTTAAGTCAAATACTTAATAAAACAGTTGAGGGGCAGCTATATCAGATAAGGATGGTTAATGTTACAGTATCAACCATTTACCCTAATTTTACACACTAGCTAGCTTTAGGCTAGTGAATATTGTATTATTTCAAGTGAAGCAGTACAGTTAGAGTTAGCTTTTTGTGTGTTTCAGAATGAACACTTTATCCTGTGTTTTTAATTATGTATCATTGTAAATATTTTTAGTTTCTCTTCCTTTTTTTTTTTTTTAATTTTTACCAACAAAATGAGGTGTGTTTGCACTGAGCATTGCTTGAAGCTTTTTCAAACAATTACAGAAATATAGTGACATTGCTTTTTCACTGTTTTATTGGGAATTTTGGGCTTTTTTTCATGGACATTTATAAGCTTAGGTCTGAATGATATGGACTTAGGTGAGAAAGCCCATATCATTCTAGTAAATACCAGAGTTACCACATGAATAAGATCTCAATAGGCAAGACTGTTTTCAAGATAACATTTATTGCAAACAAGAGTACAACTTTCCACTGCTTACTTGAGGTAGCCTGAGCATCCTCCCCTGCCCTGGGTGTGTTGTCCCTGCAGGAAGATTGGAAGGACAACTGCTGAGACAAGAAATGGTCACGCCTCTGATTTCTGGTGGTTGTGCACACTACAGCAAGACCTAACTGCTCATCACATGTAAAGCTATGTGTTGTACTTTCTCCCCCAGTAAAAATGGGACTACTACAATGGGATACCCATACGAAACAGAGTTTTGCACTGAGCTGTGTTGCTGCAAAGCTTTTGTTCTGTTATAGGTCATTTGTGGTTAGGTGCAGTGTTGGCAGCATGTCTTAGTAGATCTGTTACTGATGGTGCAGCCTTTGCATCTCCCACTGCAACCCTTCCAAGTTCATGAAGGGGCCTTCTGAAACCAGTTTTGAGATAGTGATGCCCTGTAGAGATCAGAGTTCTTAAGTGCCTTTGAATTAGCAAATGTGTTTCCCCTATGGAAGGCTTTACCCCTCTGCCTCACCTGCTGAATAACTTGAGGGAATTGTAGGTGCTTGGACAACGTTAACATTCTTTGCTGTTTGTCTGAAGATGGGAAAGCAGCCTGAAAATTCATGAGAACAAATTGTTTTCCATGGTATTTTAGTTCTAGTCTAGGGGGAACATCAGGAGAATTGACGTGTTTGTAATTTTTCCATTTCTAGTTTTTGAGCCCTGTCAGGGCATACAGAGATATATAAAAATGTGAGTTAGAATGGAGCTGAATCTCAGATCTGACTTTAGTAATGAATAAAATCCTTATATTATGTGTTGGTTTGTTTGTTTCTTGGTACGTAGGTGTGGATGCTGACTCATCTGCCTATTTTAAAACACAGTTTTGTGCTTTTTTTCACCTCTGACTCAACTTCAGCTATTTCATTATAAATTATTACAGCTATTAAAAGGGAACTTTCCCGAGAAGGCAGTTGCATTTAAATAAAATGGCCTGTTGCTACCACTTTGCTACTGTCAATCATTTACCTCAACCAGAAAGGGTTAAAGACATCTTTGCAAGTTGTGTGCAACTGGGAGACCTCAGCTGATCTATCTGAACTTTGGAGAACTGAAGTTGCTTCTGTGCCTTACCACAAGTTTGAAGCAAGCATAATTAAGCTAAGCTGGTCTGGCTGTCAGTAACATAACATTATCAACATTGTTAACTACCATTTTTGTCCTCTGTGTACTCCCACAGTGGAGCTCTAGGTGTTTCCAAGTACAATAATACTTGGGCTTCCTTGGTAGTTCTTTCACTTTCCAAATATTTTGTAAGATAGAGAAAAGAATTACAATCTTGGTTACATGTTTCATGTATTTTATATAACCATTTAACATTTCTAAAACAGAAAAAAATTGATTTTAAGGAGTAATGACTCAAGTGATCAAAGAGCTTCTTCAGCTGCAGTTCTGGTGCTAGGAAAACTAGCAAGGGGAATCAAAAGGAAAGTGACCCCAGTTATTTCTCAGCAGCCTAAGAGAGGAAAAATGAAGTTACTGCAACACAGAACAGTGTAGAAATCTGTGTAGAGTAGCACGTTCTTATGGGGAAATAGCAAATAACTTAAGCACTGGTCAGAAGGTCATAAAGGTGATCTTAAGTGTGTGCTTACAAAATTCCAGAATAACCCACAACTTTTATTTATTTTAAATTTATACCTTCTGGGGGTTGACAGCTTTAGATAATACTTCAGAAAGCAACATAAAAGTAGTCTTCTCCAGTGTTTTAAATATTAGACTATGTAATGATTTTGATGTTGTGTTCAGTAGATTTTTTTTTAAGCATACTTGTAATACTGGTTTTAATGAGAAATGAGTCTTAAAAACAGTGAGGTTATCTAGGATAATCGAGGAATTATTTGTTGCATAAGCTACGAGTCCAGATGTCCAAAATAATTAAGTCTAAAATAGAAAACAGCAAATATTCATGTAAAAATACTCCATCTCACTTAACATGAAAACGTAGATTGAATGTTTTTAAAAGACTACTTCTTTTCGTTGTTCATCTAAAAAATTATTTCTCTGGACTTTCTTCTTCTGAGATAGCTTCAAAGAATCAGTTTGTGAGGTCCTTGGAGTCAGAACCTGGTGATAACATGGTGTTACTGAATGAGATCCTCAACGCATCCTCCCCAGACGATGGGGAGTTCAGCAAAGAGTGGACAGCTGTTTTTGGACAGGTTGCACTTGCTGATCTCACCATGAACTCTTCAGCTGGAGATATGGAGAGCACTTCATCATCTGTGGCACCAACACCATCAGGCTACTTGCCCTCACAGCTGTTAGACCAAAACATGAATGACTTGCAGTCATCTTTACATGGTAAGAACTCATCTTGTTCTGTCAGTGTTTTGGTTTTAAGTTTTAAAGCATGGGTTTCTACTGTGCACAAGCTTATGTGACCGCTTATGTTGTGCCATAGCTACAGAAACCCACAAGTTAAAGTACCGTGTGGCATGGAGAAAAAAATGAGTAGCATATTTGTTTTTCTAGCTCTGCGTATTTAGTGTTTGTGAATGAAGTACCCAAAACCTGAAGTCAAAATTACTGTCTTGAATGTTTTCATTGAGTTTCTGAAATGTTTTGTAGGCCTTTGAGATTTATTTTTTTTCTGTAACAGAAAATCTGCTTGAGTGGGTTTTACTGTTTAGCTCACAACTGTTTTCTCTGTTATGGGGTCAAAGAACCAAAAATGATTACTGTATTTTGTTTAGGAATACTATTTTTAAACAATGTGGTGAAAATCAATTGAATTCATTTTCTGGGTTTTTTTGCTTTGGTGTTTTGTTTTGTTTTCCCCAGAGCATCCCGTACTGTTGCGTGCAGGGTTATGGGTGAGGATAGAATGGGTTGTCTCATCCTAGCAACCATACAGGTGGATTCCTCTTTTAGGCTGGTTATCCACTGATGCAACTGTCTTTTCTTCTATACAGTTCATTTTCTTGGGTTTTCCAAACTGCTGCTGGGAGGAGAGGAAAGAGGGAAACTAGGGCAGAGCTTTACTGCTGCTGCTTTGGCTTTGAGGAAGGGAGGGAGGAAAGCAGACTGGTGGTAACCAGCCAACAGCAACTACCTTCATCCTCCTCACAGTCCTGCTAGACTTTTCCTAGGGCTTTGCAGGCTGGAGGAGGACCTTGCCTTTTTGGGCTCTGACCCAAGTCATTTAAATCTCATTTGAGGAAGAGTGATGTAGGAAAGACTAGCACACTGATTCCATCCTGAAGACTACTTCTTGGAACCCATGCAACTGGTATAATGATGCTTGATGTAAAATGACCTGTAACATTTTGGCAAGAACAAAGAAAAGCAAATTTACCTTATAAATAAATCCATTCCAGTCAACCTGGAATCCCCAAACCTTTTTGAATAAGAAAAAGAATAAATCTGAATTGGAAGAATAAAATATGTTGATGTTTCCAAATGGATTTCCAGAGTTTTGGCAAAAGATTGTGGTAATTGATCTACTGGCATTTGAAAAGTCAGGGCTAATCAGTTGAATGATTGTATCTGATAATCAGTGTGTTCCCAGTTGACTCTGGTTGCCAAGTAAAATTCATTTTTTAAACTAACTTTCATAGGCTATTTTCCTTTTTAAGTTTTGTGTTTCTTATTTTCTAACAGAAGGTGAAATTCTGGCCATTTTATATCTTGTCAAATCTTTAAGATTAAACTGCATTTCACTTCACAGCATTTCTTTCATAATCTGATCTTATCAACAAATGTGGAAACAGACTTTATTTTTTATTTTTTTTAATCAAATACTAACCACAGTATAAACATACCTAAACATAAAAGTTGCAAATATTAGAATAAATGAATTAGGGATATTTTTACTGAGGACTTGTGATACATCTCTACACTTTTTTTTTTTTCTCCTAATTGGTAGGATTGCTTAATAATTATTCAGTGTGAGGTGCTACACTGGAGCCTCAATGTTGCATACTTCCTGTGTGAATTTGGCCTTAAGACCCTAAAGATTCTTAAAACTCACATGCTTAACTTTAAGCACATTAACTTTTCTATTAACTTCAGTGGGATTACTTACTTATTTTACGTTAAGCACCCTCATAAATCTTCGGGGCTTTTTTTCTCTCTGCCTCAGATCTTAATCTGTAAAACAAGCACAATGCTATGCAGGTTATAAACTGTTATGGTTAGGAATTCCCAGTTTGGATTTTTCTCTGGCTGTATTTATAGGCAGAATCTAGTACAATGAGACTTTGAATTGTATTGTAAGACTACCAGGTGCTGGTTTAAAATACGTATAAATGTGTGTGTGTGTGTGTGTGCGTGTGTGTATATAAGAAACAAAGCATGCTCCCAAGAAATCTTTTAGATTCTCGTCCAATTACAGCTTTGTAGTTTGGTTGTCTTTCCACTTTTTCAGCATTAGCTTTCTCTTTCATGATGTTTATGGCTTCATTTACTTACTCAGATTGTTAAGGGCTCCTCTTTATCTTCCCTACATGTGCGTATATTCTAGATGGTAAGAAAATGAGCAGCCCACCGTTTCCATTTCTAAATTTAATTGTGGTAACGTTTGTGAAGATGCTAGCTAAAAAGTAAGCTGTTTGGTTTCCTTGCTGTCTCAGCAATCATGATTTGTCTAGTCATGTAACAAAGCCACCCTGTAAACAGGCAAACCAGAACAGGCTTAGGGGCAACGCCTGTTTTCAAATTGATAGGCTGCAGTTGGTTTTGTTTGTTATCTGTAGCTCACTGTAAGTGGACACTAAAAACATAATTAATGAAAGTATTTAATAAAAATTCTGACAGTCTTTCCCAGTACTCTCATAGTTGGATAAGTTAAATATGAAAGCATCACATGTTTTCTGAAGCATTTTTGGTTGGATGATTTTGTTGCTGCCGTTAGGTTCTTTTTGTTTCTTTAAGCTACCTGTGTTTCAGTGAACAGAAAACTGGACCACAGCCTCTCTCCCAAGGGATAGCCATGCTACTAACCCACCCTTAGTCCAGGGACGCAAAAGGAGGGCTCCAAAGCAGTTAACTGGTCTGCAGTGTTTTGCTCTGTGGTCTGCAAGTCTCATCAGTGTAAACCAACATCTAAGAGGTCTGGGGGAGTCAACTCCTGATCTCACTGAAGTCACTGGGACTTGCACAGAAAGCTTCCAGGCAGCACTCCCATTCATTTCTATGAAATTAGGATTTGGTCCTATTCACTTAAGCCACTCAATTTATCCATTGCCATCCATTGCCATATTAAAACACTCTGTAGCAATGCATCTCCAAACACCCCAAAGCATTGCAATTTACCGTAGTTGTGTGTAATGTCCATTGTCATGCACCTCTTTTGTAACACAAGCAGAGAAAATGCCTGGAAAAGTATGTCATTCTGAAGTGTTAAGGCCATACTTTTCATTATTTATGATTCAAATTTGCTTATTTGAAAGATTAAACTGCAAAATCTCTTTTTCAGGGGGCACAGGCTAACTCATAAGCCTTTATCACCATTGCCTAGAACAAATATATGTGAGCACTTTGCATCAGATTTTGAAGAAGTTTTTTGTTTGGTTCCTTAGAGATAAAATTTCCTTCTTAATTCATGTGATTTTATGGAAACACTCTTCTTGCCCCTTTTTAATAACACAGCTTGGGCCTCAGACCTTTTATATTCAAGGTTAGGTCAGAGAATGATGAGAATAATCAGAGGAAGGATTTTTGTGACTTACATGGCTCTTACAGTAACTGTCAGTAAAGTACAGCAACTGGGTACCAGTATCTGACAGAGCTCTTAAAAGAGAAGGGGTGGGAAGGACAAAGACATTAGAAAAGGATGTGAAAGCATGAACTTGTAGAAAGAACAGACTGAATAAGGAAGTGCTAACTGTGTGCAGATGAGTATCCTGTTTGTGATACTGCAGAGTTAGATGTACTAGATGCCTGAGATAGATGGATGGATGAATGGATAATAACCAGGCCATACTTAAAGGAGATGTTACTGAAAGTACAAATATGACCTCCAGTCTTCTAAATGGGATAAAGCACGAGAATTTAAATATCTTAAGCCAGGGATAAAAATGCTCAGTTTTTTTCCTAATACGTTTCTGAACTAGGGGTATGCCACCCCTACTTCATTTCCCTAGTTCATCTGGCATCACTAACTATATTTATCATTACTCTCTTGTACCTATGGAATATGCATGTAAGAACAAAAAATTGTGAATACCCAGTTTTACTTTTTCCTGCATAGTTGCTCTTTTCCTGCTATATCCTTTCAGATGAAGAACAAAGAAACGCTCCATTAAAACCTAGTTTTAAGTTAACTCAAAGTAGTGCATCTTGAATTTAATTCTTCAAAGTGCTTTTCAATAATTTTTTTTTCCATAATTTATTATTTCAAAATTAACTAAAAAAATCTGGGGTCTCCAAATATTCTTTTTTTCTGGAATAGTTGGCGAAATTGAAGTCTTTGGAACTGTACAGAAAGGTGGAAAAAATCTTTAGTGTATGTGATATTTTCACCCAGATGTAAGTGATATTCTTCACCCTGTGGCTGTGCTTGACTTAACTGCTGTATTAGCCTTTCAGTGAACAAGTAGTAACTGTGATTAGATAAAAGAAACAAGAGAAAATATTTTTTTTAGCCAGGTTAAAGGTTTAAAAAGAGTACAGTTGCCTGAATCTGGAAGTGATGAAACTGATCCACAGATAATCTTCTCTTAAGGATGTTGCTTGTCTGAAGTATCTGGCTGCAGATTTCTTTTGTACAAGGAAAAATATGAATGGCCATAACCATAAATGTAATGTTTTTCTCTGTTGTGTGATGTGCGCATTGTGCTACCAGACAGCTAGAGTTAACAAAGTCATTTTTCATGATAATGCTGCTGTATTATTGAATTTTAGGATGGGCAGCTAACAGTGTGAGCCCACCGTCTATACCGCAACCAGCACAGAAACCAAACAGCCTGAATGTGAACACTAACAAGACGCCTTTGAAAGGTGATTCAGTCATGTCTTTTTTCAGTTACTTTGCTTTTCCTTTTTAGCTGTGACTCTTACATCTTTCCAGTTACTCCATCTTCCAGCTACTCTATCATAATAAAACCTCTATTTATAGTAGTTACATGTCAAGAATCTTGTGTTCACTAATGAATCGCTTTGTTTCAGCACTAATTATACGTATGTGTATTTCTTTGGTAGGCTTCAGTGCTGCTAGTATGTCAAGAGGGTACTTTACGTTACTATAGAATGAGGGGGTTGAAACTACAGTTTCTTCTACTACTTTAGACACACAGAATAGCATCTGCATACACTTTGTCTATGTGAAATAATGTTTTGAAGCTCTAGGAGGATATTGTGGCTAAAATACAGGCTACTGATAAGGCAGAAGAGCCCTAATTGCAAATTTTGTTGATAACATACATCATACCAGTAATCATCTGTTTGAAACTTAATTCACTTCATGCAGCTGAGCCAAGAGTGCATAGTCTTGCCATCTACTGAGACAAAGTCTGGCTGATTTTAACTAGGGTTTTCTGGATAAGTGAACCAAAAATATGTTAAATCCTTATTGCTGGTTTGTAGCCTATTCTGTGCATTCTCATTCGATCAGAGGCTATGTCAAAGATGTTCAGTTCAGAAGAAGAGTGGCTTGTCTTTCTTCCCCTGCCACCTGGGATCAAAAGACTGACATTTTTCAGCTCAGCAGAAAAAAAGAGGGTTAAGGTGTTACGGAAACTCTTTTGGAAATGAGTGTGATACAACAGCCATAGTGCTTCAACAGAAAAAAGGAACAGCCTTCAGCTGCTTTGAAATCTGTGTTTATGAAAGTGGCAGATACTCCAGCCTTGCAGAACCTAAGATGAATGTCATGCCAGGCAGAGCCTATTTTGCCCATAAATTCTTTGTGTCACAAGGAATGCTTTCATGCAACGTCATCTGTCTGAGTGGAAGAGCACAACTTATTTCACTAGCAGTATAATACTTATTTCAATATCAGTATAATTAAGCATAGGGTCACAAAAAACAGAGCAAGTGATGATGGACCTTCTTTATAGCAGCCAAAATTGTCACTGCTTTAACCTGAACATTTGCCCTGTTGGAATAAAAGAAGGTAGGAGACCGCTAGGAAATCTGCAAATCAGTATAGACACATAGGTGCAATAGTCCAGCTGCTGTTGGAACATGTTCCTGGTTCACTTTTTTAATGTAAATCAAAAAATACACTCTAGTACTAGAAGCTGTACTTGGGACTGGCTCTCAAACGTATCCCCTCTCTCTCCAGCCAATACCTTTCCATTAAACTTTGTTCCAGATGAGTGTGGTCATATACAGGGGGGACAGAAAGTTGCATGAACTGGATTTAGGTGAAGGAGTTTAGTCCTGTAATAGAGGTTGAAAGTAAAATTTGCCCTCACTTTCCTTTTACTTCATTGCAGGCATGCAGGTGCATTACACATAAATAAAATACCTTTCATGAAACAAAGCTAGACAGGGCGAGATTGTTTCTACTTTTAAATAAAGCATTCCTTTACTTACCATGGCAGGAGGCATACAAAATGCACAAGCAGACAGATGTAAAACATTTATTCTTACTAAAGTTCTATGTTCAGTTAAAGGTAGTGTTTTAAAATGCCATCACTCACTGCAGTTTTCTTCTCAGAAGTGCCCTTAGTAATAAATTAAACAAAAGCATGGCATTTGTTTGACCTCAGTCAAACATTCAGTCAGTTTTGTTTTAAAATAGCTGACAAGTCTGTACTTCTTGCTTGTTTTTTTTTTTTCTCCAGAACCTACAAAGAATCCTAAAGACTTGACTGCCTGGTTCAGTCTCTTTGCTGATCTTGACCCGTTATCCAATCCTGATGCTGTTGGGAAAACTGATAAGGAACATGAATTGCTTAATGCATGAGTCAGCTGCCTATGGTAACTCACATTCTTCCATTCATCAACACTATTTTTGAGTTTTAGAAAAAAAAAAAAACTAAATTAAAATTAGTATGCTGTTGTGAAACTATAACGTATGTGCCATGATAATAAAACTAAAGGGAATGAATCCCCTTTTATATAGGTACAGTTATTTGCTCTTGTTTTGTATAAAGAGTTCGCATTTATTTTCTACGTGGATTTACAAAAATGAGGTTAAGAATTAGGGCAGAATTCTTGCCAAATTAGATTATCTGCTGAAACACTGTCTTTGCCTGAGGTGATGCGGAGCTAACACTGGAGTGAAATACAAATTGCAAACCTATTTTTTTATAATGTTTCTTGAGTAAATAAAAACCAACATGTAACTGAGGAGGCTGCATGAGTCAAACATGTATCATGTATATAAAATATATATCACTGCTGTGTTAAAATGCCAACTAAATTTGTTTTGTTAGTACTTGCAGTGAAAAACCTGTTCCGGGGCAGTTATTGAAGAAATACAGTTGGGTCCATGCAGCCATGGAAATTGCGCCATTTCTGATTTAACTTATTAGACAAACTTCACTACATAAATAGAAGTCATGCCCAGCAGGCTTCTTTTCTGAGGTTTCTCTCCATTGCACCAACAGAATTTGCACCTGTTTGCAGCAGTTTCTGGCAACCGATGCTTTACCATGCCTTCAAAACATTCATATTTCTGTTGGGAGTATTTTTCATCCAGTTTCTTTCTGAAGCATGTGTTATTTTGAGCTTGCTGTGACATTAACTCTTTAATAAAATGATTTTGACAAAAAGGACTTTTTATTCCCACTGGAATGCTGGTGTGCTGTTGAATTGGTACGTAACAAGCATCCGAGGAGAAAACATATGACCAGTTTTTAGACACTACATAATAATTTACCCTGTTTCTGAATAGTAATCCATTAGGACAGTAAGAAGATTTGAACTCGTCTGGTGTCCCTTTGCCTCCCTACTCTCCTCTTACAGCAAAGGAAGGGAAAAAGGATGTGGCAGTAGTCACTTAAGAGCACATGTTGTGTGTGCTGTATTTTTGCAATTTATTATATTTGGCCTTTTTTAAATTCAGTTTATTTTCCTTTTATGTTGGGGAAGCTTTTCCCTACCAGTTCACTGTACACTCAGTAGTTAATCTTGCCTCATAGTCTGTTATGTAACTAAATACCTGCACTGGAAACCTGAAAATAACTATATAAACATAGAAGTTAACTGAATTGACCTGCTGCTTCTCAAATTCAGCACACTTAATTAATTGCCACACTAAACACCATTAAGGTGCACTTGACAGCCCCTATCTAAAATGCTACATACTGTGAGTGACTATGGGGGTTGGACTGACCAGAGTTCATCTGGCTGAACCTTCAGCATGTTCGAAAGACCTCTGTTCAAAACTGTACTTCAGGTTTTGCCAGAGAAGTTCTTTGGATGTTTAGCAGTATATTATTTTCACATGTAACAGTTGTCTTTCTGTGCAGCACCTGGCCCACCCATGTTCCCAGCACTGAGTCTGGTAACGAAGGCATAGAAGCTGATGTAGATGCCTGACTGTTTTTACAGATAAATCTTGATTCCTTCCACAGTAGTTCCTGCTGTTTGGTACTGACAGCCCCTTGCTCAATAAGCTGTCTTTTGTGAGATGCATAACTTTCTTGAGCGTTGTGGAGATAGATAGCCTGAACTCTTGACTTTGTGCTGCAGCCTCTGGCAGTAAATAAGACATCTACAAAGCGGATTAACTGGGAAATACCTAAGGTTTATACCGGGGTGCACTTATGCTTAAAATGCTAGTTTGCACTCATAACATGCGATGTTTCCCAAAATCCTCTTCATCTCAAACTGTAATTATCTGCAATGTCAGAAATATTAGCAGCTCAAGGGATAGACAGGCTGCTTTTCAGCCCAACTGAAGGTGGGCTACCACTGAAATCATAAAACAGATTCTTGCAACTTTAAGCAAGTTTGTGGTTGCTAAATTTGCTCTGGATTACATTTGTCTTGATAGTTGCTAAAACACTTGTGGACAATCTACTCTAGCATTTTTAGTAGCTGAAGCAGTTAGGCTAAAAGCAAAGGTAAGGCTGTACTGCCTTCAGAACAGCTAATTAACTTTCTTTAAGACTTTTACTTAGAAAAATGTTTGGGTTTGGTTTTTAGGTCACAGATTCTAGACTTCCAGGATTTAAATTAAAACAACAAAAAGGCTCCTGTCTTGATGGGGACAGTTAAGGTCATTGCACAAGTTCAGCTAAAGATGTTCTGAATCCTCATCATGATTTTACGTAGAAAAATGTCTGAATGATTGTCCTCTTCAAAAAGAAAAAACGTGACTGCAGGGTTTTTTTCTTCTCCCTCCTCCCCACAAACTCTACTACTGACTAGTTCATATTCATTCATATTCCTTGCAATATGTAATTTTTGGAAGTGCCTTTAGCTTTGAATTCTTAATCTACACCCTATGCAATTTTTTCACACTTTCAAATGGAAAAAAAAAAGTCAGAGGTATTTAAAATATTATTAATTTTGCTTAAAGAAAAGCAATTGAAATCCCTGTGTGCAATGCATTATTATCGTGAACATCTATTGAGTTGCAAACTAGAGCAAGAAAGGTAGCATCCTGCAAACAGGCTTTTTTTACCAGGCAAAAATCTTAATTACAGAGTTACAAACAATACTTCCCTATCTCTAATGAGGTGTCGAGCACGTGCTTCCCAGCAGCTTGGGCTGCAGCATAACTCCACGCCCTGGTGCTGTGTGAGAGGATTTTCTGTGAAGTAGTAGGGGGGACAACAGGGTAGTTCATCATCTTGGTAAAGTTACAGATTGATTGTTCTTACCCCCATAACGTTCATCTTGATTTAATATGCTTCATTCCCATTGCTTATTCTGGGTTAGTAGTGGATTGCTTTAAAATAAAAACAGCTGCAGAGCTCCTATGGCAGATGAAAACAGAGGTAATTGATTAACTGTCTTTATCAGGAAGTTTATTAAAGTTGATGTAATTGATTTTGGTGAGTCGAGGTCTACAAATCTAGGAACAGCTGCTTCAGGGGAACTGGAGCACACCCCTTGGGTACAGAACAGCTCATAGAGAAAACTAAGAAGTAACTTTTTCAAGGAACTTTTCTGGCTTTGTTAAGCAATCAGAATTAACTGCCAACATAGTATAATGTGACTTACCTTGTTCCCTTCTGCTGGTTCCATATCCAACATTTCATGGGCATGACATTGTTGCACTTCGAAGCAGGACCACTTGGCCACAAGCAACCACCTGCCTTCCACCAACATCCTTTTTTAAATGAGTGCCCTTCAAACGTTAGAGACTCAACATGCTAGAAAAAAATAGGACTGCCTAAACAACAAGGCAACTGGGAGTAGAGAAGGAGCATGGGAAGCAGCTTTGCTCCAAGTGGCAATAGCAGCAGGCCTACAAGCCCAGACAGCTCAGTAGAGCCAGAAATTAACATGAGGACACAGCTCTAAGGTGTTGTGCATCATGATGAGCTTTCCCAGGGCCTCTGTCACTGCCATTTGACATCACATCCCACCACAGGTGTCAGGGGATACTGGATGAGCACCACTGAGGAAGGAATGGTGGTTGTATCATGCATGCTTGCTGCTCAGAGTGTGTGGGCTGGAGTAGCCCCAGGGCAAAGGAAGAGCTGGAAGGACCTATCTTCTCTCAGTGCAGTTCCCAAAGAAGATCTCTCAGAGTAGCTGCAAGACACTGACATGGTAGAGGTGCAGCTCCTCATCACTTCTCCAGGCTGCCTTCCTGCAGTTACTGCTTCAACTTGTGGTCCAGCACAACCTTTCTCCTCCCTGGCAGGGGTCACAGTCCAGGCCAGCACAGAAGAGCTGGGCAGTGCAGTTTGGCCGGGCCCTGCTGACTCACCTCCTCAGTTAGGACTAGTTGCAGGCTTTGGACTTGGGCCATAGTAAGCCACAGCCAGCTAGGGACCCAAGGTATTTCTAGGGATTGTTTACAGGTATGTAAGTAACCCAAAGTTGAGTCCTCACTGTAACCCAGGCACGCTATCTCATCTAGCATTTGCTGTAAAACCTCTCTGGTTAGCCTACTTTTACAGTTTCTGCTCCTTGTAAATGGCTTATTTTTAAACAAGCCACCATATGGGAAGGCAGGAAGCAGAGCAACAACCAGGCTCGACAGTAGCCAAGCAGCAGAGGGTCTGCCTCAGCTGAGAAGTAGAAACGCTGAGACAGTCTAGGGCTGTGCTGGCAAACCAGGTACAGACGAGCCACTTTCCACTGCTGGGGCTGCCAGCATTGCTTTGCATGTGCTCAGTGCACAGAGACCAGCTGCCATGGTGCACAGCGAGTGAGACCCATGTCCACACACACACACTCCCATGACAGTAAATAAGGGTACTATGGGCAAAACAGGCCCTGCAGGTTCAGCAAGTTTGGCCTTGGGAACCCATCGAGCCTCCAGCTCCAAGGTGGACTGACTTTACAGTCAATCAGACCATTACCCAGGTGTTCATTAACCGTGCTCTCCTAAGCATAAAATTGACTTTTCCCCTCATTGACTAATTAGAAGCAAGTATAATCTTCCCTTTAAGTAACACAAGGTATTTGCCTGCACAGGAGCCCACCATGTTAGACTTGCTCGAATGAGTCCAGAGGAGGGCCAGGAAGATGCTCTGAGGGCTGGAGCACCTCTGCTATGGAGACAGGCTGAGAGGTGGGCTTGTTCAGCCTGGAGAAGAGAAGGGTCTGGGGAGACCTTATTATTGTGATTTTTGATATGAAAAGGGGGCCTGTAAGAAAGGCTGAGAGATATTTTTTACCAGGGCCTGAGAATAAGGGGCAACAGTTTTGAACTGAAAGAAGGACAGATTTAGATTGGCTAATAAAAAATTCTTCACTGCGAGGGTGGTGAGACACTAGCACAGGTTGCCCAGAGAAGTTGTGGCTGCCCCATCCTTGGCAGTGTTCAAGGCCAGG